TGCTGGACGAGCTCGGGGTAAGGAGCCCTCTGCCCGCCGAGCCGAGCCGAACCGAGCCGAGCCGAGCCGGGCCGGCCCGCGCTGACCCCCGCTCCGCCCCGCAGGTGCCGCCCAGCCAGTGCTTCGTGTTCGACCCCGCGTTCTCCGAGCAGGAGCTGGCGCTGCTGGGGGAGCTGGGGCTGCGCCTGCTCCCCGAGAATGAGGTGAGCACGGCCCGTGTCCCCCGTGTCCCCGCGCCCGGGAGGGCAAGGGCAGGCGCGAGGCGCGAGCCACAGCCCCTGCCCGCGCAGGAGGGGAAGCACCGCGTCGGGGAGGCTGCCACGCTCTTCTACATGATCCACTGCGGGAAGGCGCTCTACAACAACCTGCTCTGGAGCAACTGGGCGCTGGGCGCGCTCTCCAGGGTGGTCATCATCGGCAACAGCTTCCGCGGCATCGAGGAGAGGTAGGTGTGTGCTGGGGGACGAGGGCTGCGCCCGGCGCGCTCCGCCGCCCGCCCGCTCCGAGCTGCCTTCCGCTCTGGTGCCCGACCTCGATATTCACACAGTGCTTGAGCTTTTGCTTATTTTCACCTCACTACGAAGTAGCCATCAACACTCTTTTCTACCCCCTACTCCTGTTTAGAGGGAAGCCGTCTTTAGTTTATAAGAATATCAAGTTTACTTTTTTTTGTGGTAGGCTATTGTCAAGAATCCTGGAGAGAGATTATTCTTACATAGCAAAGGTAAGAAGTATTAGCTTTATAAATGCTAATGTTGTGCATTGACAAAACACCTATTGATGAGGGAAAAAAAAAAGCAAGAATTATAATTAAAAATCTTTAAAAACTCATTTCTTCGCTGCTCTCGTACAGAGATGAATCTCTCTGTGCTCATCTTTCTATCCACATAACTCTGCAAACATGGGTTTTGGTTAGCTTAGTACTGTTCTCATCTTCTCTGGATCTTAGCTTTCCAGAAACGTACCCTATGTAACTAACTTGTCGTCAAATACTCCTAGGTCTTAAAAGGGACAGAGGAAATTGCGTTTCCAACTCACCCTCAGTACACAGACACATTTAACGACACCTCCATCCACTGGTTCCCCTTGCAAAAACTGAAGGAACTCTCCGGTGAGGTTTGGGAGTTCGTGCAGGAGCCTACGTACGAGGACTGCGAGGACCTGGAGATCATCAGGAGGGAGGAGGGCGGCAGCCCCCCGCGTCCCGCCGCGCCGCAGCCTTAGCCCTGCGGCCGCCGTCCCCGCTCCCTCCGCGGCTCCGCGCGCCGGGCTGAGCTCCAGCGCTGGCACCGGCCTCGGCACCCGAAAACCGACCTTCGGGGGCAGGTTTGTCTGTAAAGCGATTATGCAGTACACGTAACTGCAGTGTTTGGGAGCTTCTGGGCTTACGCTCACTCGAAACGTCAGCAAGCTCAGTTAAAGACTGTTTTAAACCACTCATGTCACTTAATGATCATTCTTTTGTACAATTCAGTGCCTTTGTCTGTACTTCTTACAGTCTGAAGTAACCAAAAGGCGGCATTTATTTGTGAGGGAGTTATAGTTCGAGGTGATAATACCCAGTTTGAAATGCAGGCTTAAAACACCTCATGTGAGGCCAAGATAGAACTTTAACTGTCCAATGCTACTGAAAACAGCTCTTCTAGAAGGGAAAGGCCCAATTCTTCACAAAAGTTGAGGGAAGGAAGAAAATGGGAAAAAAGCCTTTTTTTTAAAAAAAAAAATCTCTGCTATGATTCCTCACTACTGTGTTTCCCACAGTTCATGTTCCATGAATATACTGAAAAATCACCTCCCTTCCAGCTGCTGTTAGGGGCAGGGCCCAGACTTGCGCAGGGCACAGGGTTCAGAACAGCCCGACGGTGCCAGCGGCACCGCGTGGCCTCTCCCTGTTTGCGGGTGAGGGACCTTACCAGGGTAAGGGTTTTCAGGGGCAGCAGGCTGTGAAATCCTCAGCGTGACAAAGCCCTTGCCCAGGTGGGCTCGGCAAGAGCCCTGCTTGAGCAGAGAGCGACTCCAGGGGGCCTTCAGCCCTCACCTGCCTGATGAGGTGAGCGGATGCCCACTGGATCCGTATCCGTGCTGGCAATTACACTCGTGTCAGACCTGCTCCTTTCTCCTTGGCACCAACTTCCACAGGCAGTTTTACCTGTTGGTGCCATCTGAACAGCTTCAAGGAAAAACCCTGGCACACAGCTGAGCTTTCATCTATTTACAAATTTGTAACTTCTTTATTCTAAGAGAGTTACATTAAAACAAGATAACCTTCACAGTTCAAAGCAGGGCCCTTATTTAGCCATATCAATGAGACTCTGGAGGGAGGTTGGCACCCAAGTCTTTTCTCCCTGTACAAATACAACTCCTCTGTCAATGTAAATCACAATCCGTCCAAACGTATAGAGCTGCTTCCCTTCGTGCCGCTTCCCAATCACAGGCATGAAAACAATGTTGTGCTCCTCCGCCTTGGTCTGAATGAGGTCCTTGAAGTTCATGGGCACGGAGCTGGCGGCGGCGCCGATGCCGCGCTGCGCCATGTTCTCGGCCTCCCGCCGCTCCTGCATGGCCTCGTACTGGAAGTCCTTGCGGCGCTCCGTGTGCGTCAGGTAGGCGATGTTCTCCCGCGCGCCCGGCTGCATGTAGCCGCCTTTGGGAGAGAAGACGGGTGAAAACGGGGCCCCCCACCAGGCCCTGGGCAAGGGGTGCGAGAACGCGCCAGGCCCAGGGGAAGATTCAAATCCCGTGAAGATCATTCGGATTCGAATGCTCCTTTCAGACATTCTTGCTCCTTTAGCTTTACAGTGTTAGCACTGACAGGGTGTAGACTCGTTAGGTCAGGAGCAACAGGATTTGATAGACCCCCAGTCTGTCTCTGAGATGCACAGCAGAGGAGGAGCTGTGTGCTGCTGCTTACAAAGGGCACATGTGAACAACAGAAAGAACAAAACCCACCTTTTAAAGACAAAACCTGACCTGAGGTCTCCACACACCACCCCTGAGTTACAAACAGGGGCTGCTACCAAAACAAAGCATATGGCAAGAGGAAGCAATTCATCAAAAAGTGTTTCACTTTCCGTTCACTCTGTGGCTGCCCTGAGGGCCATGCCAGAAATTTTGTAACGGATAATTTCCTCTTTGAGCAATGCTTGCCTGTGATTGCATCCTTTTACTAGAGAAAAACAACTAACACCTTAAAAAAAGGATTGCCTCAAGTCTATGCTTCTGATTTGGATTCTCCATCACACTATACAACAAATTCCTAGAAGAACATTCAAAACATTCATTGAGGGCATAACACATTTTAGATACTTCTTCTCCTTCAGGCATTTCTCCCCCTTTTTATACAGTTCAATTCCCAGCAAACTCCCAGTGATCTTTTAAGTCACAGAGAGAGGCCTGTGGAAGGGTGGGCAATGCCCTGAAGTAAAGGAGAAGAACCAGTATCTCACCCAAAAGGAGGGAAAAAATAAAGAGAACTTCAGAACCTAACATTTTAAATGATGGTCTCCAGTGGCATCAGTGATTGACTCGGTGATAAAATACACTGTATTCAGACTATACAGATAGCGAATCAGTTGCTTAATGACAGAGGCAACCAATCCCCAGGACTCTGTTAAATCTGTTTCTGCTTCAGTGAAGTGCAGACAATTACTAACAACACCTTGCAGGTGCTACTTATGGACAGAACAAGGTAAAAAGCATTTACAATTTTCCTGCTCATTGGAGCTGATGAAATGTTGATTAGCAAGTCTATACATACATATACACACACACACACACAGACAGACTCACAGGAACCAAACGCTGCTTTAGAGGGAGAAGCAACAATAAGCCACCTACCAACACTAGAAGAGACAGCCCGGTTCATGATATCAAGAGCTTCATTAAATTTGTCTTTGATCGAGGGATGCGCCAACACCTGGTCTGAGAACATGGATTTCCAACCCAGGTACCACTTTGTGATCTCTTCGTAATTGGGGCTGTTACTAAGCCAAGAGCAGAGCACCTGCAAAACAGTATGAAAGATCAATTCAATAGGACAGAGAAGAGGGAGAAAGCCCTCGTTATCATTTAGTGTGGCTACAACAAGCTCTCAGTACTGAGAAAAGGACTGTGCCAGCCTTAGGAAGCAGTCTGAAATATGATGGGTATGAAGCTATGTGGCAATCATTACATTTTACAGCAGAATTCCAGTACTGGGGCAACAATTACTGAGCAGAAGTCACTAAAAGACTCTGCTGTGAAACAAGCCTATTAAAAGTTACTCAAGGTTGATTGTTTCTCACCTGCAGCCACTTAGGGAAGAAGTGCTTCTCCAGCAGCCCAACAAGGCTGGAGACAGAAATCATTCCCTCCCAGTCGATGACCCAGTAGAAGGCATCCATGTGCTGCTGGTGGGGGTTTATGATGAGCTCATTCAAACACATCCCTGGGAAAAGAGGGAGAGCAGTTAGAACTCAAAGCACTGTAACTGGCAACACACATGACTTGAGGAGCAGTTGTACCGAATATTACATAAAAAGACCTTCAAGATTTTGGAACTGTTTAGCCAATCCCTGCCTCCAAACAATATGGAATTGCTGGAAATGGAAGCAATTTGCTTCCAGCATTGAGAAACTTAGAATAGTAACAGCCACCAGACATTATTCATTCTCATCTTATTCCTGTTCTCAACTGACTTGCAGAAATAAGACAAAAACTCCTGAGAATCACCAGAGTACTTGGCCTTTTCTAAAATGTCTGTCTTGAGAAAGAAAAAAGAAAAAGCACGATAATAGCAACACAGGTGCAAACTTGCTCTAAACTAATTAATAATATTCTTTCAAAAAAATACCAGCAACTTGGTTAATATGTATCTTTGCCAGAAGTAAAGGGGAAGCTGGCAACCAGCTGATTCAAGAAATTCACACTGTTTGGCTTGTCTCACCTAGCTTCGGCACGATGTTTTTGACCATGAAAGCCTCCCACGACCCTGGTGTGAAGACATCCTTCCAGGGCTGCAGGATGAGCTTGGCTGAGGAGTCGCTGGGATGCCACTTCTGCAGCGCGTTCGCCAGCTTGTTGCGGATGGGAGAATAGAGAGGTTCCAATCGCGCCTGCATCAGGGGGAGCCAGGGGTGAATCCAAGAGTGGATTGGGACTGTGTCTGTCAAAGGATTCCAGCTTTCAACCTTGAGGCAAAACAGAAAAGATAAAAGTAAGTCTATCCCTTCACCAATAACCTTTGCCAGACGCAGAAAGAAGTGCAATGCAACCCACTGACTGCTAAATATATCGTCAGGCGCAACACAGCAGAAGTTTGTAAGCTTTGGTCAGCTAAGCTGAAATACTGGCCCAGAGCACAGCTGCATCCTAAAGCAGCCCCCTCATCTCACCTCTTTCTGTAGCTTGGGGAAGATGAGCTGATCCAGAATGTTATCCAGTATCCACACAGGAACAACGTGCACCCAGCTGTCCAGGAAGTCCACCATCGATCCACAGTTCCTAGGTTGCCACTGTGTCACTATGTTTCTGACATACGGCATCCAGATTTCCCACATGAGTCTGGGAAAAAAAGCAAAGTTGAGCTTAAAACTATAGCCTCAGGCCTAAATAAACCAAATGGGTAATAGCTATTTAAAAGCTGTTTTCTTTTATACAGCTGACAGCTGCATTTTAATTGACACATTGAGAGAATAATTTAGAAAGCACACGCCCATCTATTTTTCCTCCATCTCCAAGGAAGCAGCATTGGGGAGGCTGCACCAAGTACAGTTCATGTTATTTACCTGTGAAAAGCATCTGTTGAAAGATCCTGCCCGCTGTGTGACAACAGCTGATCGTTCTCCAAAAGGCTCTTCCACTTGGCTATAATCTCTGTGCCATATGTACAGTCCTGGAAATGATATAAGGCAGGGACCTCTTTAATTTCAGCTGGTATCCAGAAAGAGCAGGCTGCTGGCGTGCTTGACGAGACAGGGCTTTCCACCCAACTCATCTGCCACCAAAAGGCAAGCCAGACACTTGTAGCAGTTACCAGTAATCCCACAGGAGGAAAATCCCACTTTATGGAATTATAATAACACTCTCTACAAGTGTAGAGAGCCCAGGTTCTTTCACTCATCACAGGCTAAATGGCACAAAGCACAGACAACACATATATGACTACTTCAAAGACAGGCCTTCCAGCCTTTGCCAAAAAGTAAAGCAGTATTGGGGCAGTGGTGGAGAGTGGATCAACCTTTTGGACACATTTACTTCACTCTACCATAAGATTCTGATCAGAATGTGGGGCAAGAAGTGGAGGGAGTCAAAACAATAAAGGCAGCCCAGCCATCAACTGAAAACCATGAAGAAATCAAACTACTACACACCTTGAGGGGATCCCAGTTCTTGAAGTAATCTTTCATGAGAGGATAAACTATTGCTACTGCCAAGTCCACCCTATCAGACATCCGGTACTCTTCATAGTACTTGTCCTGGAGCGTCTCAAAAATCTTTGCACACTCATCCAGGGTCAGGGGATTTTCACAACTGGGCTGCATCCGTCTCTCGCACTCCTCCACCATCTCCAGGACTTTGCTGAGATTGTTAATTGCCCTCTCCTCATGGGAAAGGACTTCAGACATCTTCTGTATCTCGTGGGTCAGGTTGACAACCATGTCTCTCTCGTACTGCAGCTGCCGGTCGTTCTGGATGATCTCCTGCTCCGTGATGTCAATGAGGAGCTGCAGGTTGTGCTCCAGCTCGGGCAAGGCAAATCCTTGGGGCTTCAAGTCTTTGCCCAGTGGCTGCTGAGGGCTGTCATCTGGAATATTGTGCTTGTGGCTAATTTGACTGTAGCTGTAATACACTTTCTGTTCACGGCCTGTCATATCTATAACCTTCCAACAAAGAAGAACAAGCAAGTCTTAAAAAACTTACTTCAAGTTTAAATTGAAAATTAGGATTTCTGAGATCTTCAAGTACCTTAATCATAATATGTACAGTTGGGCTTTCAGAAGTGGACACATATTTAATTTAGGACAAGTGTGAGACAATTAAACTTGACTCACACTGAAATACTTCTGAGTTAATTTACATTTTCCTGAGGGCAGAAGGTTGCTTGTGAGCGAGCGCCACAGCCCAAGTGCCACAGTGGAGTGTTAAATGATTTGGTGAATTTGGTGATAAGTCTGAGGCCTTTGATTTTCATGAGGTTGTGGACAGCTCACCCTCATAACCACCAAGAGTACCAGCAGCTAGAAAGCACTCACAGTACTAACATGGACCTTCCAGAGATACCATCACTTAGGTTGTCAGCCTTACCTTGACCTGAGACAGCTCCTTTTGAGGTGCTGAGAGCTGTTTGCTGATCCTACCCCTGGCTTTCAATTCTTCTACTGTCTTATAGTTGTATTTGGGTTTTTTCTTTCCTCCATTAGGATCCTTCCTCCACTGACTGAGCTCTTTTTGAAATTCCTAAATAAAAAAAACAAGTAGGAGGTTGCAGAGTGCTTCTCTGTCATGACACAAATTGATCTATCTTCTACAGAAAAAGGAATGACACAAACAGCATTTATTTTGGGGGACTTCTAGCAAAACTACTTGACTAAAATGAGCCAGAATTTATGAAAAGAACATTACGTTAAAAGGGGAAATCAATCTACATGAAGCAGCGTTATGTCTCTAGCATCTTACCTAAAACTGGCCTGAAAGGTTTCTCTAGCACAGAATCTGATACTAGATCTAAGTTTCATAAAAAGCAACAGAACAGCGAGAAGAGATAGAGCAGGAGTCACACACACCTCTTCAGCCTCTTCTTCCGAGTCCACGACGGGGAAGTCTTGCAGGGACTGGGCGGTTCTCTCGGAGCCGTAGGCCCCCACGGCTCCTTTGCCTTTTCTTTGCTTGGCCTCAATTGGATTGATAATCCCTGCACAGGACAGGAGACAGGGCAGAAAGGTCACAGTTTAGTTACTGGGAAAGTATGAAAGTGCTGTTCTTACTGGAACTTTAGCAAGCTATCAGATAGTCACCTGGCCTCACGTTCCACTTTTTGCACTAAAGCATCTGTTACAAATATATTAATTTTTAGTGACTATAAAAATACTTAATTTGTGCAGAGAGTGACAAAAGGCAGAAAACCATTCACACACATATCCACTGCCTTCTCATTCCACCACATAAATTAATATCTCCTTCAATTCTGCACTGACCACTCCTGAAATTTTATCTCCCTTCTTCTTCGCATACAAAATAATGAAAACAGCAAGTTAAACACAATTGGATTTTATCATAAGGATTCACATCTTTTGCAAGAGATGTCAGCAAGTGAGAACGAAGCTTTGGGCCCCCTGAGGATTACAGATCCCTGTCGGACCCAGCCCTGAGCTCCGAGCTAACACACTCAGACAGGCGAGCACGGTACCTTGTGCGTTCTTCCCAAGGCCTCTTCCGGGGACGTAACCCATCTTCTGGAGGAGCTTCTGCCCAATTCCCTTCGTGTGTCTCTCCCAGCTTCCAAAATCCATGAAAGACTTGGTGCCCCCTACAAAGCCTTTCTGACTGGGCTTGAAATTACCCCCCTATTAAAACACAACAATCATTGTAAGGCAACACAATAACCAAGTCTGGCATGTATCAGCCCAAAACGAAGGCAGCCTCCTGAGAAGTCTCAGCTGCCAGCACAGGGCACTGCTGTTTCTCTGGCTCACGATGGCAGAGCACCACTTTGTGCCCAGTTGAGCAGCCTGTCACTTAAGAGCTTTTCAGATAAGATGCCAAGTATTAGGCTTTATCAGTGACCGTAGCCGCGACTGCTACCGATCCTTTCTGTGCTCCACGGCACAGAAGGGCCTAAGCAGGGGCTGGTTTTTAATCTGTAACACAGCAATCATCTCGTTCTGCAGAAAGAAATCAACCTTTGGGGCTTTAATAATTGAAAGAAAGGAAGTAAAACAGGAGCTGCTTTCATGCGTAACCTCAGGTAATCAAAATGAATGAGACTAGAATAGAAGCGCTCCCAAAGGAGCGATATTCCCAAGGATGCGGAACACTACACCAGCACAGCTATAAAAACACAGCAAACACGTCCTTTAACCGCCCTCAGCGCCACTTCCCTGGTCTACGGTCACTTCTCCCTCTCTCAAATACTCCATTATTCCTTCAGGAGCTTTGCTGCTATTGTCACTTCATAAACGCCCAAAACAAAATTGAAAGAAGAACCCTGGCAAACTCACCGTTTTTAACTTCTTCGGCACGAACTCCTTGGGGGCCTCCTCCTGCTTCGCGGGCTTCTCGTCCTCGTCGGAGTCTTCCTCCGACATCTCCTCGGCTGCCGACTTCTTCAGCCCGGCGCTGATGAAGTTCACGGGGGCCGAGTAGTCCCTGGAGCTGCAGGGACAGGGCACACATGTAGCTCCGCGCCGCGCGCACGCGTGTGCGCACACATGGCCACGCGTGTAGCTGCACGCGGCTGCGTGCCGTGCCGGCCCGGCCGGCCGGGCCCCGCGCACCGCTTGCCGCCGAAGCTGGGCCGCCCGTCGTCCGAGCCGCGCTCGGCCC